GTATGCCTTTAAATTATTTTCTGATTACATCCTTCTATTTTTTATTGATGTAGTTATTGATAGATTTGTTCAATTTACTGTGGAAGATTTCTACCATTCCATTTTGAGTCAGCTTTCCCTAAATCTAGCATTTAGGTAGCTACTTTTCATTTTTATCTTTCAAATGCAATATTGCACTCAATCATACTCTAATTACTATTGAATAATTTTTGTGTTAGGCTTTTAACTAAGTATGGCTTATTAGTCATGATTAAATTTATTAAGTTAATATTTCCCCTTGTACGAGTTTCCCTATTCTTTCTATATAGTTTCTTTCGATTCAATTTCAGTTCTACCCACCTTGAAGCCATATCTCAGTAATGTTTGCCACACAAACTAAGTTGAATGTGCACCTTTGTTTATTCAATTTGTTCCTTGTATTCTGTGTGTTTGTATAAAAATACTTAATTTAGGGCAATCTGTCCTGTTCCAATATCTTCTCTCACATATATTGTGTATCTCTCCTTTGTTTAGTTACATTGCATCTTTTAATCTTCCCTTTTACGAGTGTTTACTGAAGCACCATTTCTAACTATTACTTCACTCTTTTTGCTTTTGTTTGTTTTAAAGTCAGCATTTATGCTACCTTTGCCAGCTGAGCCTTCCCTTGTAATCCTTCTCAACGCATAGTAAAAAAAATTCTTCTGGCTGCCCTATTTATTCTGTCCAATTCACTGAACAATTCAGGTTCAGACTGTTCCAACATCAGGGTTCCTTCCTTCCCCAGTACAGCTCTATTGCCCCATGTAAAGGAATGGCTCAAACCCACTACCTCAGTCAGAAGGTCACCTCCTATTAGGCCCAATTCACTCCTGTGTTACAAATGAACCTATAATCTATTGTACTTTGCTCTGTGCCTATTTGTGCATGGCTCAGATAATTCAATCATAAGCTTTGAGGTCCTCCTTTTTATAATGTAGCTTCTAATTCTCACTGAACAGGACTTCAATCCTAAACTCCCAAGATATACTTCCCACCAGATCATCAAGATTGCTTATTTTCACCTCTGTAACCAACTCTACCGCTGCCTCATTTGCTGCTGAAACTGTCATCCTTCTCTTTGTTAGCTCTAGATTTGTCAATATAAAGCACCCCTGGCCTTGCTACATTCTATCATTGACATCATTCAAAGCCCTGCTGTTGATGTGCTAGTTTGCACCAATTCCTGTTCACCCATCACCCCTGTGCTTTTCATTTTAAAAAAAAAAATCCTTCCATGACAGGTGAGACATGAAGCTGGACCTTCCGAGCTATGAATGCTACAATTGCACCACAAGAGAGCCCCGTTATCACACTATGCTCGCTTTTCCCAATTGAGGAGCACCTTAAATTTTGACCTCATTTTCAAATTTCTCCATGCACCCTCCATTTCTAATCTAGTCTCATAACTGCACCTTCCTTTCTTCACCCCCTATTCCCCAAAACAGCTCCCTACACATTCTATGGTCAGCATTTTAACAGTCCTTTGAAAAACTTTGATCAATATGCTTTTATATAGCAGTTTTGCTTATTGTACAGGATTAGCTATGTAGATCCTGATTCTGTAACTCACCTATGTTCTCCGTACTCTATTTATTATTGGCCTTACCAGTCATCTGGGAGCTGGCACCTGTCTAGGAGTTGTGACCAGGTACTACAGCAAACTTTATATCAGTTGCTGAACTGGGGAGATTTGAGGTGGAGGCATCAACTCAAATGTGTTCACTTTGGACAGATTGCAGTCCAGTAACTCCCACATTGTTTTTTGAAAGCAAGAAACCTATTCTCATTTTTGGAAATATCAGGAATTCAAATTTTGATCGAACATGGAAAGATACCTACTTATTTATGGGGAAAGCCAGGGGGGAAATAGTGTTCCCATTTGCAGTTGAAGTCTTTTTTTGGAGTAAGGTTGGTAGCACTCAGCCCACCATCTTCCATTTTTCACGTCATGAATTATGCAATTGTGCTCAACTGCGCCCCTGTCATGGAATTGCACAACAGGAGTGAAAAACTGCTCACCGCTGACATGAACCTCCAGGGTGAATGCCACTGGCACTGTATTTAAAACTCAGCTGCACACCACTTCAGATGCTGCAAACCAGGAATCGTCCCTCACTTTGCGGTGCTTGACTGTCACAGCACGAAGGAAAGAAAGGCTACTACCCCTTTTGGTGGACAGGGAGATGGTAGATGGGCTGTTGAAGAGGAAGGCCATCATTTTTCCAGCAAACCTTTAAGCAAGTTCATGCCACAAGATGCAGCCAGATTGGACCCAGATAAAAGGCTAGATCATTGCTGTATCCTGACTCAGGAGTAATATCCAGCTGTATGGGAAAATGAATCATCTGTGCTCTGCAAGGGTAAGTGCCACCACTGTCTTCTGTCTGCTCCTTCAGGACCACCTCTCACTCTAACTGTGTCACTGCATCCAGCTCTCACCAAGGCTCATAGACTACAAATCTCACCATTGCATGCATCATGTCCACTCATTTCATCCACCTCATCCCACCCCCTCACCAAACTACTAACTCCTCTTGCCCTCAGTGCTTCCTGCTCACACACTGGAGATACCTCACCAGCTCTTCTACTTCTGCATCTCCACTAACTGCTTGTCCATCCACTTCCATAATCTCTTCCTTTGTCTCATTGCAGGCAAAAATTAGCCTATAACTGGACAAAGATTTTGAAGACTGGCAGATGTGTTTGAACATCCAGCTACTCATTTCATAAGAGGAGAAATTTCTCAAATTAGCTGGAGAATAACACAACTATCCATGTGGAGATAGGAGGCTTTAATTGCCAACTAATTGCCATAAGCTTCGTTGTGCTGCTATCACATTAACCCACTGTGAACATATTCTTAATCTGCACAAGCTTTTATCCCTTTTACACAGCTAATTCCCTCTCTTTCATTGTGCAGGCACCAGCAACGTACAATGAATCTCCACAAAGAGGTAGTGCCGGACATTCTCAACCTCGCCTCTATAACGTTAACCTGCACCCTCCCCAGCTCAGAGACCTTCACCCCAGTGGGTACTCTATTGAGATTAGACTCAGGAGCACAGTCTGGCGAGTGCATTGCTGACACATCACAGCAGTTGGTCAAGGATGAAATGCCCCGGCACTCAGAGGATACTAGAGGCCTAGCACCTGGGACTGGAGCTGGGTCAAAAGATGCAGGAGTCCAACAACAGATTCAATGCCATGTGGCTCTGGCATGTGTGCACCTAACTGTCACCAAAGACAAGTTGGTAGCCACTATAGAGAACCAGGTGCAGCACACTTAGGATATGTGCACAGACCTACACTCCATTGCTGTAACGAGGTGGATGAGTGACCTTGACTTCATTCCAGGTGCCCTTTCCTCTGATAGGACGGTCCCAGTAGGCACGCATAGGGAGAGGAATCACACACACAAGACCTCCAGAAGCTGCTTCTCAACACACTTAAGAGATGCCTGGCCCTGCCATCTTAGCCCTGCCTGCGAACAAAAAACCCTGCAGATGTTCAAACCAAAAAGTGTAAATGTGCACCTGAAACTCTCCGTGGGCTGAGATGCTCTGGGCTGAATAGCACCCGGGAACATCTGTTCAGGTCTTCCAGGTCAATGGGGTCAATGACAGAGCAGGCTTAGCCCACCTGTGGAAATCAGGACTGCAATTAGCCAGAGTGGGAGGCAGAGGAAGTAAAATACTTACTAAGGGCACATAGGTGGCAAGAGTGAAACAGCATTGGAAATAACCTTTCACAGGGTACTGTTTGCTCTGGTGTAGTTTTCACTGTCAAACTGAGTGAAGTCACACCCCATTTAAGAGATGTTTCAGAGATAGTAGGAACTGCAGATGCAGAAATGGTTTCTGAAGAAGGGTCCAGGCCCGAAACGTCAACCTTCCTGCTCCTCTGATGCTGCTTGGCCTGCTGCGTTCATCCAGCTCTACACCTTGTTATCCCATTTAAGAGATGAACAGCTTTTTCAAATCATAGGGACTGCAACTCCCTTTCATAAGCATGAGCCAGTTTCTTCAGTTCTTATTTGAGGCAGCTGGAATTCATTATTAACCAGGAACTGTCTCTGAGCCATGTGGATCCTTGAACTGTGACATTGGCCATAGCCAAAGTCATTTTAATGTGGACAACACAGGCTAAGCACGGAATGTGCTAGGGCTTAGCCAGCGTGCATCATTCCCCATTTACACTCACCTTCATAACGAGAGTATGGAATAAGTGAAAATTACAGGAGGGAAAGACTCATTCTATTTAACAGCCTTAGAAAATTGTGCTCTGCCATTCAAGACTGGGAGGAGTTCAATGGGCAGCATTTACATCCAATCTCTGAAAAGTTGCACAAACTGCTGCTTCCCATTGTTTCAACAATGTCCTTCTGGATGCTTAAGCATTTAGCAGTGCACACGCTCTCTGAAACATTGGAAGGTTAAAGGGGTTTGCTCCCAATTTGTTGAGAGACTTCAGTGCACAACACTTTAGTATAATATGCTGATTGAAGCCTTAAGAGTAACCTAATCTTAGTGCCATGTGATGTTAGTTCATTGTCTCACTGCTGCTTTTTCCTTAATGGCAACAGGACATGGCATTTATAGTTGGAAATACTCAAAGTTACCATGTGCCTAATTTGATGGGTAACACAACAGTTATTCAGAAACAGAAAAGATCTCAAACATTGCAAAAAATGACCAGGTGTACATGTCCTTTACATTAAGCAGGGGCTGTTCCCAGATCGCCAACAGAATCTGAAGTAATGTGTCCCTTTGGAACATGAGACCTGCTCCAGCTGCCGCTGATAGTTCAGTGATGATGGCCTGAGCTATCCTTAACCAGTGCCTGCACGGTCGTTAAGAATTGCATAAAATGATGGTGAGACCTGTGGTTTGTGGGGTGTTAAGGGGGCGGGGGGCGGTGAAGGGCCAGCCCATCAATCTCACCTCCTTCCTTGGTGAATACTCACCTGCTGCTTCTCTCTCTGGATGCTGTGTGGGGAGTGGGGTTGAGGGTCGTTGGGGTGGTTACTGTTTTGCTGGGCTTGAAGACAACATTGTAATTGCTGTCACCTGCATGGTCTCTAGAGTTGAAGCAACCACACAAGGACTCCAGCCACCAGTGTGCCAATGTCAAATACATGAGCATTTCCGGGGAATCTCAGAAATATATTTATTGAAGGAACTCCTGAGCGCTCACATTCAGCACAATGGGTGACCCTCTCGGAAAGCCTCCCTGCCCCACTTAATGTTATGCCTCGATCAGGAGCTCCGATGTATGTCATCTTATCCACATATAAGTTGCACAACCAAACTTTTCATATTATGTTGGAGTATAATTCTGCCAGTAAGCCATTCTGATAGCCCACCAAAAGAAAATACACCCTTCCACATCACAGACCATGTACTTGTGTACTTACAATTCAGTGCATGAATGTAGCAGCTACAAACTGTGGCCTTCCAGTGCTAGCTATGGAATGTGTTTCTGTAATGGAAAGCTCAGGCACTGCTTTTAAATACCTTTGTCTGATTCCACTTGCTTAGCTGACATGATAAGGTGACAATTATGTATACAACATAATGGTCATGATTACTTGAGGCCATAATATTTAATATGCGTTCTTGTACAATGAATGACCTTTGGATTGAATACAAAATGAAGCTAGATAGGGAGTCATTTCTGAATATTCAGAGGCAAAGACTACTGCATTTGCCAATATTAGGATCTGGTGTGATCTAATCGGACCTAATCTGCCATGTAAGCTGCAATACATGCTTCGAGTGTCTCATTGATGTAACACAGTGCCATGCAGCAACATGTCTATGTCCTTGACTAGTTAGTGCTCTCCACGATGACAAGTTGCAGCCTCTCCCCTAGACTAAAAAATAATTCAATCTACAGAGACTGGTAGCCTGTAACTGACCACTGAAGACCGTGCACACTTAGAGCATAATGTAGCCCACACAGAGGCTGGTGGCCTCTAAGTCAATGAGAGCGTGCATTGAAATCAATGTGAAGTAGAAAGAGGCTGGCAGTTTCCAAATAAGAACAAGGAAAGCAAGCTAAGGGCCGTAAG